AAAAGTATGGAAAAAGTAAATACTGCAAGTGTTGACAGAAGAGGTTCCACCACAGAAGACCACAGAGGACCAACAACAGAAGATGTTCTATCGTACAAGTGAAGTGTGACAGAACCTCTGTTGTCTATCACAGAGGTTCTGGAAACTGGTCCTCTGTAATCAAAGCATACAAGAGGTTCTGGAAGATGACCCTCTGGAATCAAGTGCTCTCAAGTCACATCCAGCAGAGCCTCTGGGATGGCTCACAGAGGGTCTGCAGCTTTATCTTCTGTGAAAAACTTCTTTACTATTTTACTTAGGTTAGTTAGTTGCTCGTGCTTATCACGTGACTGTTTGTAATCTGCTTTATTTGAACGGCTTAGATGAATTTGTACGTCTAGGTCATGTCAAAAAAGCCGTTAGGAACGAGTATAAATAGCAGCTTTGGCCTTTGTAATTCAGTGTGCTTCCATATCGTATTGTAAACATTTTCTATCAATTGAAAATCATTTGAAGCTTCTCTCTCGTGTTCTTCATTCATCAACTGTGTTCTTCATTGATTATTACTCTGTTTGTTCTTATTACTTCCGCTGCACTAATATTGTCAAATAGATCATCAAGAGTAAGTGATTAATATCCAAAACTGAGTTAATCGATCCTATCAGGTTTAACGTAGACTAAGGAATTCTTATGGTTGCTTGGATAAGAAGGTGACATTATTAAAGTCGGAGCTTGATGTTGCTCAATTGGCTTGTGACCTAGATCCTTTTAATGATTCGCTAAAAGAGGATGCTGCTCATCTCTTGTTAGCATATCAACAAGCTCGGACTGATCAGTTGGAATTGGTTAGACAAAAGACAAAGATTTCTTGGCTGAATGAGGGGGATGGCAGTTCAAAGTTCTTTTTTCACTCTATGAAAGAGAAGCGTAACAGGAATCACATTGCTGCTATTAAGGACTCTCGCGGTATGGTTTTTGAGCATGATGCAGTGCCACAAGCTTTTGTTACTCATTTTTCAGGTATTTTGGGTACTTTTGATCCGATGGTTAATTCTTCTATAGAGGATTGTGTTTTTGATCGTTCTTTGTCTTTAACGGAATCTCTGCAATTAATCCGGCCCATTACTGATATGGAAATAAAGACTGCTTTATTTGCTATTGGAAATGAAAAGGCCCCGGGATCTGATGGGTTTTCTTCGAAATTCTTTAAGTCTGCTTGGAGTGTGGTGGGTCAGGATATTCTTATTGGGATCCATAATTTCTTCTACTCGGGCACCCTAGAGTATCAGTTGAATCACACATTGCTTTGCCTTATTCCGAAGGTCCCAAATGCGTCCTATGTATCTGATTTTCGGCCCATAGCTTGTTGCAATGTGTTGCTCAAATGTATTAGTAAAATCATTGCAGACAGGATGAAAGACTCTTTGGATGCCCTCATCAGTAAGGCGCAATCTGCTTTTATTCCTGAAAGACAGATTACTGATAACATTTTAATGGCGCACGAGCTTGTGGCGGGTTACCAGAAACTCCAAGGGGAGCCAAAATGTGCTTTCAAGATCAATATCAGAAAAGCGTATGATACTGTTGACTGGAAGTATCTGCTTGGGATGTTGAAGGGAATGGGTTTTCATCCGGTTATGATCAATTTGATAAAGTCGTTAATCTCTATGCCAACGTTCTCTATTTGCATTAATGGTCAGTCGGAGGGTTTTTTTTCATGGAAGGCGTGGGCTTAGACAAGGAGACCCACTATCTCCTTACTTGTTTACGGTGGTCATGGAAGGATTATCGATGATCCTMAAAAAGTGTATTGATGAGGAAATGAATTTTTCTTACCACCAAGGATGTGAAGACCTCAAGTTAACTCATTTATGTTTTGCTGATGATCTTTTTATTTTCTCTCGAGGGGATAACATGTCGGTAGAAGTGATCAAACGGGCCCTCCAAGCGTTTGAAGTTAGATCGGGTCTGTCTCCGAGTCTTGAAAAAAGTGAGGTGTTTTTTTGGAAATGTTCCGTTGGATGTTCAGCAAGCCATTCGAAATTGCCTTCTTTTTCGTCCGGGGGTGTTTCCTATTTGGTACCTGGGTGTTCCCCTCTGTCCAGTTAGATTGAAGGTACGTGATTTCAACCCTCTTGTGGTTAATCTTAAAACTCGATTGACGAACTGGAAAAACAAATTTCTATCATTTGGAGGTAGAAGACAACTCATCATATCTGTTCTTCTATCTATGCAAACATATTGGATATTGGTGTTTCTCCTCCCTGCGGCTACAATCCATGAAATTGAACAAGTTTACCGTAATTTCTTACGAAATAAGGTGGATGGGGTGTTGGGTAAATGTAGAATCTCATGGGAAAGGGTTTGTTTGCCTGTAAAAAATGGGGGTCTTGGAATGAAAAGATTGGCCCTTTGGAATAGGTGTTTGCTGTTTAAACATATATGGGATATTATTACTAGAAGAAGTTCTATGTGGGTTTCTTGGATTCATACAAACTGTATTTGGGGGAGAAATTTTTGGGTGATAAAGAAGAGAAATGAATGGACTTGGCTTATACGAAACCTTTTACAGTTGAGACCCCACTGTCGGAGATTTTTTATCTCAAATGTGGGTAACGGGATGTCTACGCATGCTTGGGAAGATACTTGGAGTGAACAGGGTCCCCTTGTCCAGTTGCTTTCGTATAGGTTCATTAATGGCAATGGGTTTCATAATAACTCTACGGTTTATGATCTCACGCAACGGTTTGGTATTGCGTGGCCGGATGAATGGGTACAACGCTTTCCCCAGTTGCAGCATATTGTGATCCCTTCTCCTAGTCCTGAAGAGGATACGATTAGGTGGCTTGATCCTTCTAAGAATCGGCAGCTTTTTGAGGTGAAGGTGGCGTGGAATACTCTGCAAGAAGTGGTTTCGGTTGTGCATTGGCACAAGGTGGTTTGGAATAAAGCATATATACCTAAACATGCTCTCTTCATGTGGATGGCTTGTCAAAAAAGATTACCGACCCAAGACCGCATTTGCCAGTGGAAGCATAAACCCCCTGATCTAAAATGTGTTTTTTGCCACTTGGTGATTGAAACACATAATCACTTATTCTTTGAGTGCAACTATTTGTATAGTATTTGGGAAGTGATAAAGAGGGAATCAGGGATCCAGATATGTCCGAACAATTGGGAGGATATCCTTAATATGGGGCTTTTTTACAAGGGTGGAAATTGTGGTCTACGGTTCAAAAACCGGGTATCTCGGCTACGGTATATCACATATGGATGGAAAGGAATAGAAAGTACTTTGACAATAATAACCGCACTGGTGCTCAAGTTGTGGCTGATATTAAAACACAGATTCTTCAAAGAACGGCGTGGAAGACAAGGAAGAAGCTTATGAGAATAAATGACACGTGATCTTGAGGAGGGCGTTGGGTTTCAGTTCTAGAAGTCTTTGGTGGTTAGCTCTTTCCTTTATTCAGCTTGTTTTAGTCTGCTTTTATGGTGTGTTTCTCTTTGTTTATTTTGGCCTCTTATGACTTGGTTTGTGAGTCAAAGTTGCAGTAGTTTTTCCTGCTGATCTATACTTTGTTTTCTTGTCTTAAGTTGCCTTTATAAAATTGCCTGGGGAGTTCTCCCCTTTCAGTAAAATCCTTACTGATAAATGGGCCTATTAACCAACTAGGTTCTAATCAGATTAATTATGAYCCATTTATTGTCATTTTGATCCAAATGACTCGATTA